AAAGGGAGAAGACTCAAATCAGTAGAATTAGAAATGAAAAAGGAGAAGTAACAACTGACACTGCAGAAATACAAAGGATCATAAGAGATTACTACAAGCAACTACATGCCAATAAAATGGCCAACCTGGAAGAAATGGACAAATTCTTAGAAATGCATAATCTGCCAAGACTGAACCAGGAAGAAATAGAAAATATGAACAGACCAATCACAAACACTAAAATTGAAACTGTGATTAAAAGTTTTCCAACAAACAAAAACCCAGGACCTGATGGCTTCACAGGCGAATTCTGTCAAACATTTAGAGAGGAGCTAACACCTATCCTTCTCAAACTCTTCCAAAATATAGCAGAGGGAGGAACACTCCCAAACTCATTCTACGAGGCCACCATCACCCTGATACCAAAACCAAAGATGTCACAAAGAAAGAAAACTACAGGCCAATATCACTGATGAACATAGATGCAAAAATCCTCAACAAAATACTAGCAAACAGATTCCAACAGCACATTAAAAGGCTCATACACCATGAACAAGTGGGGTTTATTCCAGCAATGCAAGGATTCTTCAATATACGCAAATCAATCAACGTTATACACCATATTAACAAGTTGAAGGAGAAAAACCATGTGATCATCTCAATAGATGCAGAGAAAGCTTTCAACAAAATTCAACACCCATCTATGATAAAAACCCTGCAGAGAGTAGGCATAGAGGGAACTTTCCTCAACATAATAAAGGCCATGTATGACAAACCCACAGCCAATATCATCCTCAATGTTGAAAAATTGAAACCATTTCCACTAAGATCAGGAACAAGATAAGGTTGCTCACTCTCACCACTAGTATTCCACATAGTTTTGGAAGTTTTAGCCACAGCAATCTGAGAAGAAAAGTACAAGGAATCCAAATCGGAAAAGAAGAAGTAAAGCTGTCACTGTTTGCAGATGACATGATACTATACATAGAAAATCCTAAAGATGCTACCAGAAAACTACTAGAGCTAATTAATGAATTTGGTAAAGTAGCAGGATACAAAATTAATGCTCAGAAATCTCTGGCATCCTATACACTAATGATGAAAAATCTGAAAGTGAAATTAAGAAAACACTCCCATTTACCATTGCAACAAAAAGAATAAAATATCTAGGAATAAACCTACCTGAGGAGGCAAAAGACCTGTATGCAGAAAATTCTAAGACACTGATGAAAGAAATTAAAGATACAAATAGATGGAGAGATATACCATGTTCTTGGATTGGAAGAATCAACATTGTGAAAATGACTCTACTACCCAAAGGAATCTACAGATTCAATGCAATCGCTATCAAACTACCACTGTCATTTTTCACAGAACTAGAACAAAAAATTTCACAATTTGTATGGAAACACAAAAGAACCTGAATTGCCAAAGCAATCTTGAGAATGAAAAATGGAGCTGGAGGAATCAGGCTCCCTGACTTTAGACTATACTACAAATCTACAGTAATCAAGGCAGAATGGTTCAGGCACAAAAACAGAAATATAGATCAATGGAACAGGATAGAAAGCCCAGAGATAAACCCACGCACATATGGACACCTTATCTTTGATAAAGGAGGCAAGAATATACAGTGGAGAGAAGACAGCCTCTTCAATAAGTGGTGCTGGGAAAACTGGACAGGTACTTGTAAAAGTATGAAATTAGAACACTCCCTAACACCATACACAAAAATAAACTCAAAATGGTTTAAAGACCTAAATGTAAGGTCAGACACTATCGCACTTTTAGAGGAAAACATAGGCAGGACACTCTATGACATAAATCACAGCAAGATCCTTTTTGACCCACCTCTTAGAGAAATGGAAATAAAAACAAAAATAAACAAATGGGACCTAATGAAACTTAAAAGCTTTTGCACAGCAAAGGAAACCATAAACAAGACCAAAAGAGAATCCTCAGAATGGCAGAAGATATTTGCAAATGAAGCAACTGACAAAGGATTAATCTCCAAAATTACAAGCAGCTCATGCAGCTCAATAACAAAAGGACAAACAACCCAATCCAAAAATGGGCAGAAGACCTAAATAGACATGTCTCCAATGAAGATATATAGATTGCCAACAAACACATGAAAGAATGCTCAATATCATTAATCATTAGAGAAATGCAAATCAAAACTACAATGGGATATCATCTCACACCGGTCAGAATGGCCATCATCAAAAAATCTAGAAACAATAAATGCTGGAGAGGGTATGGAGAAAAGGGAACCCTCTTGCAGTATTGGTGGGAATGCAAATTGATACAGCCACTATGGAGAACAGTATGGAGGTTCCTTTAAAAACTAAAAATAGAACTACCATACGACCCAGCAATCCCACTACTGGGCATATACCCTGAGAAAACCATAATTCAAAAAGAGTCATGTACCAAAATATTCATTGCAGCTCTATTTACAATAGCCAGGACATGGAAGCAACCTAAGTGTCCATCGACAGATGAGTGGATAAAGAAGATGTGGCACATATATACAATGGAATATTACTCAAGCCATAAAAAGAAAACGAAATTGAGTTATTTGTAGTGAGTTGGATGGACCTAGAGTCTGTCATACAGAGTGAAGTAAGTCAGAAAGAGAAAAACAAATACCGTATGATTCCATATATGTGGAATCTAAGGAAAAAAAAAAAAAAGGTCATGAAGAACCTAGGGGTAAGACAGGAATAAAGACACAGACCTACTAGAGCATGGACTTGGGGATATGATATGGGGGAGGGGGAAGGGTAAGCTGTGACAAAGTGAGAGAGTGGCATGGACATATATACACTACCAAACGTAAAATATATAGCTAGTGAGAAGCCACTGCATAGCACAGGGAGATTAGCTCAGTGGTTTGTGACCGCCTAGAGGGGTGGGATAGGGAGGGTGGGAGGGAGGGAGACCCAAGAGGGAAGAGATATGGGAACATATGTATATGTATAACTGATTCACTTTGTTATAAAGCAGAAACTAACACACCATTGTAAAGCAATTGTATTCCAATAAAGATGTTAAAAAAAAAAAAAGGCAACCCCATTGAAAAGTGGACAAAAGGCTTGAATAGACTTTTCAAAGAAAGATATATAAATGAATAAAGCACATAAAAAAGTGCTTATCACTAGTCATCATCGAAATGTAATGAGATATCACTGCACATCTACAAGAAGGAATAAAATTAAGACTGAGAACACCAAATGTTAGGATGTGGAACAACCAGTGCTCTCATATTGCTTATGAATACAATATGTAAAAAGTAAAACTGGAACATCCATTTTGGCAAAATGGATTGGCACATATTTTTAACAGTTTTATTGAGATAAAATTTACAAATAATAAAATTTACCCATTTTGATGTGCAATTCAGTGAGTTTTGGTACATGAATACAGTCACAAAACTATGAACACAATCAAGATATATATTTTTTTATCACCCTCAGCCCCAGGCAATCACTGATCTGCCTTCTGTCAGTATAGTTTTGCATTTGCTAGAATTTCATAGAAATGAAATTGAACATTATGTAGCATTTTGTCTGGCCTCTTTTACTTAGCAAAATATTTTTAAGATTATTGATGTTGCATTTTTTAATGGGCAAAAGATTTGAACAGACATTTCACAAAAGAAGATAAATGAATGGCCAGTAAGCACATGCAAAGGTATTGAATATCACTGATGTTAATTATCACTAGTCATCAGAGAAATACAAATTAACACCACATTTTATACCCATCAGAATAATAACTAAAATTAATGACTGGGAATACAGTGTTGGCAGCTGGAACTCCAATACATTGCTGGTGGGAATGCAAAATGATACAGCTACTTTCAAAAACAGGTTGGCAGGGTTTTTTTTTTTGTTTTTTTTTTAAAGTTAAACCTATGCTTACCATACAATTCATCCATTCTACTCCAGGGTATTAAAAACATCAAGAATTTCACTGACATGATGCTGAGTAGAAAAAGAGTACATATACCACTTTTATGCATTCTGGAATAAGCAGAACTAATTTTATTACTTTTCTGTTGTTACCACCCCAAACTTAGAGGCCTGAACAACACAGATTTATTATTTTATGGTTGTGTAGGTCAGAAGTCTAAATCTTGGTCTCATTGAGCTAAAATTATGATGGCAGAGCTGCATTCTTTTCTGTAGGTTTTGAGTAGGATGTATTTCCTTGCTTTTTTCAACTTCTAGAGGCTGTCTTCTTACCTTGGTTCTTGGTCCCCTCCCTCCATCTTCAAGCCAGCATTGAATCCTCCTCTTCTATTTCCCTCTTCCTTGTTTAAGGAACCTTGTGATTACATCGAGCCCATTCAGATAATTCAGGATAATCTCCCTAATTTAAGGTCCTCTGATTAGCAACCTTACTTCTATCTGCAACCTTAATTCCCATTTGCAATGTAAAGTAACATATTTATGGGTTCCAGGGATTAGATCTTGGACATCTTTGAGGATGTTGTGTACTAATTAAGGTGAAGAAAATTTGAATGGTAGTTGCCTCTTAGGAGCACATAGTGGTGAGGTGAGGGAAGTTGACTGGGAAGGGATGTGTGGGAATTTTCTGGCAAAGTAGAAATGTCCTATATCATGATAGGTGTGTATGTTACAAAGATGTATTCATTTGTCAAAGGTTTGTGCATTTAAATGTATGTAAATTTTACTTTAAGAAAAAGAGTACTGTTAAAAATAATAATAATTGAGGGGGGGCATTGGGAATGGCTGGAGGAATAGATGAAGTAAGAATGTGGATATTTTTAGAGCTGGTTAATGAGTACATGGGAGTTCATTATACTATTCTATCTACTTTTAATTTGGAATTTTTCATATTAAAAAGTTAAATGAATATTCATTTCATTCTAAATAGTTAAGTCCCTGAATGCCATGAAAATATTCATTAGTAAAATTGCATCTGATTTATTTCAAATGTTAATTTTTAAAATATCAAACTTTACATTAACAACTAAAGTTTCTTTTTGGCAGCCATGAAGAATTATACTCAGGTCGCCCCTATGGAGCCCTTGATTCAGGTTTCAATAGTGTGGACAGTGGTGATAAGAGATGGTCAGGGAATGAAGTAAGTGTTTCTTCTATTCTGCATGTTATAACTTAAGAAAAAATAAAATGATGAAAATGGTTAAGTGTCTTAACTGGACTCAATTTCTTGTTATATAAAATATAGAATAGGGGCTTCCCTGGTGGCATGGTGGTTGGGAGTCCGCCTGCCAATGCAGGGGACGCAGGTTCGTGCCCCAGTCCGGCAGGATCCCGCGTGCGTGGAGCGGCTGGGCCCGTGAGCCATGGCCGCAGAGCCTGTGCTCCGCAACAGGAGGGGCCACGGCAGTGAGAGGCCCGTGCACCGCAAAATAAATAAATAAATAAATAAATAAATAAATAAATAAATAAGTAAGTAAGTAAGTAAGTAAAGAAAGAAAGTAAGAAAGAAAGAAAGAAAGAAAGAAAGAAAGAAAGAAAGAAAGAAAGAAA